TCAACCTTGAGCCGGTGAGATTAGAACCGCTGAACTGCAGATAACAGTCAGCTGAAGTGGCCTGCAGTACTGCACCCTAACCACTGCGCCATCTCCGCACTTCCCAAACTACCTATAGATTTGGTATTTCCTGATGGTATACTCCCAAATATTAACAGGTTAGCTTCAGGGGTGGGTTCCGAACCAGCCGTTACTGCTGGTTCGCTCAGGGGCGCACTGCACGGTGCGTGTGCTTTGTGTGTGCTTGATATGTGCTGCGCGTGCATGCACAGTATCACTAAAATTGCTCTGCCTTTGCGCACAAGCAAAAAACAAGATGGCGCTTACGTCGTTGCCGGGAGAACCGGTTCGGGGGCATTAAAAGAAAATCCACCTGGACTCCTAGCTCGTTTATAATTTTCCAAAACCCAACATTCCGTTGCTATTTATTCCTTTAAAAAAGAATTTTTAAGCCCTTACGTTTATGTTTATAACTTCCTTCAGTACGAATTGAGGAAACTTACCTGCTGTTTCCCAGCCTAGGAGCCAAAGATTCCTAACAACTGAAAAGCAGTTAATACACAGATTCCAAAACTGATTAGAAAGGAAGTAGGCGAACACAATGCCCATAAAAATGCAGGCCGTGGTTCAAGCAGAGATGGGGCTTCCTTCTCTCCCAGAGCTTTAAGCCCACCAGCGCCAATGTTTGGTCTCCTCATAAGGGGCAATTGTTTGGAGCACTTGTGCTCTATCTGAAGTTCTCTTCTTGTCAGGAGTTATAGGAGTGTCGTGGCTCACGGTGTTAGAACACGTTTCTGACAATCAGCAGGCCTGTGTTCAAGACCCAAGTGCTGCCGTGGAACGGGGTGAGCTCTCCTTGTTTGCTCCAGCCTCCTGTCCACCTTGCAGTTTGAAAGTGTGCAAATGCCAGTAGATAAATAGGTATCACTCTGGTGGGCAAAACGGGGAGATTTAAGGAGCCGCCAACAGGATATCTTCTGGGCAACAGTGATATCCCAGATAATCCTTTTAGGATGCGCCATGATGCTTCCAACCCCAAAGCAGCAGAAGGTAGAGCAAAAATCCAGTTTATCGGCACCTCTTCATTCTAGTGTAGTCATTGGCTCCATTTTTCACAGTGTCCCGTCTTCTGTTTGCATTTTTCTTTCCTGGAAATGAAAAATAAAACTGCTTTTAAAATCCTTACAAGTTAGGCCAGGAGGAAGTCTGAAAAATAAAGAATATTTAAACTCTGGCAACATTTATAGACTAAGTGCTTGAACTGAGTCTGAATCAGAGCATCTAGATAAAATCTATTGGCATAATATGTGACTAGTACAGAATATCCTGTTCAGTGGTTTAAACAACTTCTAGAAGAGATTTCTATAATCCCACACAAAGTTATCTGCAGTTGTGGGTTGATAGAAGTATGTGCAATCTCTGTGTGTTATCAAGAAACATACAGCTGGTAGAAGAATGTTTAGTGTGTTGCCCATTGCTTTTTTTCTGGAAGATAATTACTAATAATTTCTGAACCCTATTTAGGCCCCTTTGTAAGATTGTAAGACAAAACATTATATCCAATTTACTGGCAGCAAAACTGAGGCTGAACAACTGCATTATTTAAACTTGGAAAGTTAAGAGATGTGAAACCAAAATCTATTTTTTGCATCTAATTGGGACGTACTTAAGACAAAATATTATATCCANCAGATTGTTGGGGGCAATATGCTGACTCTCTGTAAACCGCTTATAGAGGGCTGAAAGCCCTATGAAGCGGTATATAAGTCTACTGCTATTGCTATTGTACCAGGATACACTGAGATATTCCAAAATGGATCAAAGATCACAGATTTGCTGCTTCAAACACAAACAATAATCTTGAGTGGGGTTTACCATCATGATGGTAAAGCAGGTTAAGTGTTACTAATTCAACACTGAAAAAGGTTTAACTAGTTAACTCCTTCAAGAAAGGGCCTTAGCAAATGAATCAGAAATAGAAAAGTAGTTATGCACTTTTACAATATTATTGACCAACATTTTATGATATGTCTAAATTGGGCTCTCTGTTAGCTGATGCAAAATCAGGAAGCAGAAATGACTTTTATATGAGAAACCGTAAGATTTTGAAAACACAGAATTTTTTGCAACCCAGTTTCATTTCCTGGGTAGTCTTATCTCAAACAAAAGAACGATCCTCTTCCTTAAAATAAAAGGCATTGCTTTCTGATTCAGTTCCCATATATATGGTCTTACTAAATGAATAGGAACAAGTAACCCCACTGAAATGCAATTTGTTTTTCAGTTTTTTTCAAATCTTTCATCTCTATCTTTTTTATTTTTAGAAACTAAGAAAATTACCCAATTCCTGTAAAATCCACTTTTGCATTAAACCGTTCAATAGTTATCCAACAATCAGACATTAAGTCATTTGTCTCTTAAATTTGCCATCAGATTTCCATAGAGTATGTGGTAACTTTTTATTTTCCTATATCACTTAGATGGTGGGGAAGATCCTATCTCCCAAAGGGGACAGTGTAAGTTCTGGATAATCCATTTTATGGATTCTAGAACAGTGTTTCTCAACCTTGGCAACTTGAAGACGTCTGGACTTCAACTCTTCAAGTTGCCAAGGTTGAGAAACACTGTTCTAGAATCTCTCCTTTAGCATTGCACTTTATGCAAATAAGGCCAGTTCAACATTATAACACCTTAATGCTTCATTTTGTGTAATATTATTGTGAGCGCTCAGGTAGATGATAGATTCTGTAGTTGACTTGTAACTTGAAAAAAAAATACAGTTATTTTGTATTGGTTAAATAGTTTTGTATGGCTGAAGAAATGGACTTAATTGAACTTAATAGGGTCTGACATACTATTTACTAAAAGAAAATTACTTTTTGGAGGGAAAAAGACCCTTTAGTACAAAACTTTGATGGTATGTGTGAAAATTCTTTTTAAAGGATGAACAATGAAAGGGAAAAATATTGCTGGCTGGAAAAAATCTCAGGATAACCAAAGAGTGCCTTTAAGGTGCTCTTAATAAAGTCTTGTTGCTGTTAGTGTAGTATCACTGGAACTTACAGAGAAGAGTCTCTAGCAGGTTATGTCCAATTATTTGAATTTTTCTTAAGACAACACTGTCTTACTTAAATTGGTTCCCTGGGTATCTTTAAGTTTCCTATTGCTATGATTTTTTCCAGTTGTCTTTTCATCAGCAATACGGTACTTTGCCCTTCGTTGAACTGAATGTTTAATTTTAATATTTTCCTTTAATGCCTTATCTTGATTAGTGTTTGCCTCTTTTTATCCGTTTCTCTTTTATTGCTCTGTTCATCCTTTATATCTTTTATACAACACTTGTATTATATAAATGCTATGTAATGATTGGTAATTATTGTATATCTTTTATACAATACTTGTATTATATAAATGCTATGTAATGATAGGTAATTACACTGTAAAATGCTGCAGAATCATGCTTTTTCTGCATTTGTTCGATGTATTTATCAAGCAAGTTAGTTTTCTTTTATAATAGGTTTCTATTTCTTCTAGAGGAGAAAAAAAATCACAAGAAAACCAATTTATCTCAGCAAGCTGGCCTTGATTGGGTGTTTAGATTATAGCTGCTTGAAAGCCAAGATGTTGAGGAACCCAGAGAAAATTTGACACTTTTTTGTATATGATTAAAATCTGCTGGATTTTTATTAGTGTATATTTATTAAATATTTTACTTAATTCTTCGGTTCCCAGAACATGCGGGGAGTAGATTTTTTTTTCTGAATTGTGGCCTCTTAAATGTATTAATGAAAATGAATGTATAATTTATGGATGTAATTATTTAAATTATATTTAAGATATAATTGTAATTATATTTTTTACTTTCACAGTCTGCATGAAAAGGTCAAAAATAAATTTTAATACGATGCATTTTGAGTCTGTTTCTTCTTAAGGTATCACAAAAGTGAATTTCAAAATTGATTTTTAGGAATGGGTTGGGAGCCACCAGTTTGGGAAAGATTTCAAACTTAAATGATGAATAAATTAATCCATGAATGACACTTCTGTAGATAGGGAAGATTAATTCTAAGTATTAGGTGGACATGAAGGACCCACCTCAACTAAGGATCTTGAGAATTCAATTGCTTGGGAGAAGGGAAGTGTTTCCTTCATGGGTTTCCTCCTTCCCATTGGTGACATATAGGTAGTACACAGTTTGGAATTATGAATTTAAAATGTTTCTATTTTAATTTAAGATCTCCATTATCCTGTATTATCCATTAAAATCAATTCCCCCAATAAAGAAGAATCACGACAGCTGTCCAGTGTTGGATAGAAGCTGGATATTATAAATAGCACGTATATATTTAAGTGATGTCTAATAATCTACTCAAGGATCTTGGCCAACAGTTCTGTAAATCCTGGGTCATTTTTCTTCTTTCAAACACAGGAACTTTTGCTGCAAGCTGGGAGTTTTCCAGGAATCCACACAGATTTGTTAATATGACTTCTGCTTGTTTCTTTCATGCACAAAATCATCCTGAGTCATCCTGAAACTTGAATTCATTTACATCAGCTTCCCTTCTCTAACCTGAATCACAGCTCTTTCCTACTGCTAAGAGCCCTTCGATGGCCAGTTACGGCTTTGAGGGATCCTTAGCGCTCTCTGAACGTGGTTGTTGAAGACTTTTCCTTATCCAAACTAGGTATAACATCATCAATGCTAGTCCTGATGACTAGAACTGATGATGTTCGTTAGTTTGGGTAATGAATATAGAGCTGGATGATGCAGTGGTTAGAGTGCAGTACTGCAGGCTACTTCAGCTGACTGCTAGCTGCAGTTCAGCAGATCAAATCCCACCAGGCTCAAGGTTGACTGAGCCTTCTGAGGTGAGTACATTGATTCAAAAGAGGAAATTATTTATTTCCTCTTTGCTGATCAATGGTTTAAAAACTCTGCTCAGTTGCTACGCCTGACAATTTTGGTTTCTATTTTTTAAATACAGGATCTACGTGTTCTGTTGTGCATGAGGGGTAGCAAATTGACCAGGGTTTCTGTAAACAAAATCTATTTCGTTTTTTNGGGCGATATGCTGACTCTGTAAACCGCTTAGAGAGGGCTGAAAGCCCTATGAAGCGGTATATAAGTCTAACTGCTATTGCTATTGCTATCTTCTATGCTGGGTCACCAAGATTAAAATGCAATATACAAGCAATATGTTTTATTTTATTTATCAAATGTATAAATTAAAAAAAACGCATAATGTATCACGTAAAAAAACAAAAAGTAAAAATAAGCGAATGTTTATTTTTAAAAGAAACATGCACAGTAGTTACAGATCTAGAAGGAAGAGTTTCTTTTGCGCTGAATGCAAATATCTTTTATTACAGGTGAAAAAGAAATGGCTGGAGAACTTGAAGAGCTCTATGGAGATATTGATGCTATGGAATTATACCCGGCTCTTCTCATTGAAAAACCACGCCCTGGAGCCATCTTTGGCGAGACCATGATTGAACTCGGGGCTCCCTTCTCCTTGAAAGGTCTTCTAGGAAACGTCATCTGCTCACCTGAATACTGGAAGCCAAGTACTTTTGGAGGCGCAGTGGGCTTTGACATTGTGAATACAGCCTCACTTCAAAGCCTCGTTTGCAACAACGTGAAGGGCTGCCCCGGGACAGCTTTTCATGTCATCGGCTCCGAAACGTTGGCAACGAATAACGTCAGTGCATCGAGCAGGTCGATGGATGAAATCAACCCTGCCGTACTTCTCAAAGAGCGGTCAACCGAATTGTAGGGAGGGGTTAAGGTTGTATATTTATTTATTAATTTATTTATATATCAATATTTATTTATGTTTCAAATAAAGCTGTCATGGACCTCTGTATATTTTCCTGTGCATTGGCGTTGAATTCAGGTTGTCTGACTTGAAGAGGTTCTTGCTTGGATTTGCAAGACAGGTTCTCTTCATTCTTCATTATATCTTCTGTACCAAGGTGGCGCAGTGGTTAAATGCAGCACTGCAGGCTACTGCTAGATCAGCAGTTCAGCGGTTCAAATCTCACCGGTTCAGGGTTGACTCAGCCNAAAAAAAAAAACGCAACCATTTCATCTAAAATAGTCCACTCTCCCTGATTAAAATGTCGTCCTTCCAATTTACAGCTGTGAAATGGAAACTATCCGTGGGAAGCTTTGTATGCAAAACATGTACTTTATTACTAAGCCGTGGTTCTTCTCCCAAAGGGGGAATCATGATCCAGTCGATCTAAATGATGCTTCATTTTCCTGAAGTAGTAACTGAAGTGTATTTACAGTGGTACTGGTAACCAGGTGGATCCCCTTATTTAGACATAAACAGAGGCAAGCATAGGTGTGCCTTCTTTCATTGTTCAGACCTGCCCTGTTAGCTAATTATTTTTAACACCCATTCATTTACTCCTTTTTCTTCTATTTATACATTCCTTTGTTTGTGCGTTGAAGGCTGCACCCTTTTCACTCTGCCACAGAGAAAGCAGGTGTGCGTGCAGGATTTGCAAAAATGAAACAAAAAAACGAAGCACGTATGAAATAGGTCACATATCGCTTGCATTGGAATTTATGAGACCGTGGGTATATCTGCCTTACAGCCCCATTCTACTATTGGTCCAACCAAAAGCAGATAGCATAGATACAAAAAAAAAAAAAAATCAAAATGTGGGGTGAAAAAAATCAAGATGTGGGGTGGGCCCTGTCAGGCACAAGTAACCAGAAACAGGAGTTGAATTCGAAGCACTAAAGGTTTTTTTTACCTGCTACCTATACACAAGTATCTGATCTACTAATGGTCAAGCAAAATTGGACTAGATAAGGATCAGCAGAATTCCTGGAGCAGGACGGGATCTGGACTTGGGTGCTTTGTGGTTCAGTGACTCCAAACTAATGACACATTTAATCCTACCATTGGACTAAGCCTGCTCATTTCCTAGCCCACGATTCTTGCAATCTCAGTAAAATGAGTTAGTAACCAGGGCTTGAGGAACATGGTAGCATGCTCAATTCAACCTTTATTGTCAGTGCACAACATGTGTACAATGAGATTGGCTAAGCCTCCCTTAGTGCACCCCAGAGGTGGGATTCAAATAATTTAACAACTGGTCCTCTGCCCTAATGACCAGCTGGGTAGGCGTGGCTTGGTGGTCTTGTGACTGGGTGGGTGTGGCCAACTCAACGTCACTCTGGTCGATGGGCGCTTCGCCTTAGCTGTTACAATGTAATAAGGGTTGATGGGAGAGGCAGTTTCTGTAAGCAGGGCAATAAAGA